CTGAATTTAGTATAATTTTGTCTGATGAAGGTAGACAGCTGTAAGATTTTATTTTGTTTTTAAATTGGTTACTTATTTTTATCTTAGAGAACTTTTTTAGAGACAAATGAAAAAATTAAAGTTAAAATAAAAATATTTGTTATTAACCGAAAATCTGTTGTAGTAGGTGGTGATTGTTTGGTCGAGTACTGAGGTACCACTGTATTTGATTGATGCAATTTTGATACATGCAGTAACATTGAGAAATTTATTAATCGCATTAATCAAGGGATAACCATAGTAAGTAACCTGTATAAAGTGGAAATCAATCTATTCACTACGGAAGAGTTGCTCAGTCCCTTGGGATTTTGTTATTGACAGGTTTGACTGTATAAAAGGAAAAAAAAAAGACCTTACAAAGTTCTGTGTGTCTGTGTCAGCATTTATTTTTGATTATATCTCAGAATTGGGCCCTTAGTCTCGAGTTAAAACTCACATGCTTTCTCATCTCACCATGTGAGTTCCTGTTTACTTTGAGTCGAGCATGTGAAATCTCTAAACGAAATTGAAAATGGGTGACAGATATGCTATTTTGATAGTAATCGAAGCATTAGAAAGAGCCAAAAGAGTTGTTTAAGAAGGCAATGAATTTTTCAACCACGGGTAAATCCTTTTTTTTTTTTTTTTTTTTTTTTTTGTCAAATCAACACTAATAAAAAAAAACCTTTAATTCATAATTGATAAAATTATACAGCAAATTTTTCCAAAAATAAGTATATAATTCATTGAAAAAAGAATTAAAATGATAGTATTTATGTATAAATTGTTAAGAGCATAGACACTATATTAAGATTACTGTATTTAATCAGAAGTGTTAAGTTCTGATTAATAAATAATCTTAATAGACAAAGCAGTTCAAGAAATAGATCGAGGAAGAAAACTGTATGAAGAAAGGATTAAATTAAAATACTTTTTTCATTACACAATGGATTTTTTAGTTCCAACACACACAATTAATTTTTCAACTAATTCTCTCCACAAATCAAATTGTCTTTTTCTTGTAAATTTGTTGTCAAATTTTCCATTGTTCATTTTGTTATTATTTTCTATATATGTTAGGCCAAGACTCCACTAACATAAAAACCTTTGCCATAAAAACTTTTAATCACGTGACCTATTTGCATTTGCATCTAGATTGTGGTGGAGGTCCAGCTAGTGAAGTTTTTACAGCGATGGGGATATTCCCAATTCTCGAACTGTATTAGAGTGAATCTGTGCTATAGAAGTGCTGTGTTATATGGGGTTACCTATACTGAATTTATTGTAATAAATGATGTTCTCTAATAGTAAGCAGGGCCAAAATCTCCTCTTGGCAATATTTTTATTAAAGTGGTGATAAAAATATAATACTGGCAATAAAAATCCTAGTCCTCTTATTTTGACATTTGGCATGAAATTGAATCACAAAGCACACTTCAGGAAAAACAGCAAGATGTTGAACTTCTGTACAATGGGAATCCCGTGCAACACACTTCTAGCAATTTCATGGCGTCGAGCAGTAAGTTTGGGAAGAAAAGTTGGAATTGAGGTTGAGAACCGAAGGCAGTTAGAACACAAATCGAGCTGATGTGTTCACCAAAGTTTTGTTCAAATTGGAGACCTGAACGGGTCCTTTCCTTGTAAGTGACAGTTTAACATTACTTTTGCTTTCCAGATGTCAAACTCATAAGGCTACCAGCACCTGCATTAATTAGTAAGTAAAACTGGTGGCAATAAATAATTTGAAGTGACGAAAAAAATAAAAAACTGGTGGAATGGTGGTAATATTTTTAAATTTTCCTGAGTAAATGCATTGACTGTTGGAGAAAGATAAAGCTTATTGTAAACCGATAAATTGCACAATCTATTCAGTATTGTCATTCTTATGATACATTGAAATAAAATGTGTGTTGAGTGTTGTTTGAATAATAATATGAAAAAATTACTTGATTTAGTCCTTTAATAATTGTCCTATAATAAACAGTACAATTGCTAACTGAAAAAAGTTATATATAGAATACTGTTTATTAGAGTAAATATAGTATATAAGAGAAAATTTGGTAGACTATATAACATTATATTCATTAATAGTTAATGTTCAATACTATTTTGCTTGATGATGATTATAAATAATTTATATAAAAAATTTAAAATTGATAAGTTTTTACAAACAGTAATTTTAATTATTACAATTAATATAAAATGATATAATTAATTTCTGAAATATAAATTAGAAATTGAATATTTTAAATTTTTTATATAATGTTTTTTGCTACACTTACTCTAATCTGTTGACAGTATAATATTTGATATTAAATTTTTTTCTCTGTCTGGGGGAAAAAACACCTGCACTTCTCACATTCAGTCTTCTCGTGATAACGATGTTTATAGTTGATATTAATACTGATTGAAGCAGTTATAATCGCAAATGCAAGTATATTTGAAGTGGTCTAATCATAATGTAATTGATTTTTTGCAATGTTCTCATTTTGTTTCTTTCATTAATAAGTTTTCAAAAGAACATTTAATTAAAATAAATATTACTTTATTAATATTTAATTTAATTAAATAGTCTCAAAATGGAGTTATACATTTAATGATATTTTTATATATAATTTAGATTTTAGTCAATAATTTTAAAATTACTCAACTTTTTCTACTTTTTTAAATGTTTTTATATTATAGTATTTATCAATACTAAAATGCATTTTTAATGCTTTAAATTCTAAGTCATATCTTTAGATGCTAATTTATTTTAAAATAAATTATTTAATTAATTAATTATATAAAAACATACAGTAAACTAATTATATTAATTAATATCTTTTATTTAATAAGGAAAGAAATTTATTGCTTATGATGATGAACAAAAATTAGCAGTCAATTGTGCAAACATCTGTAGATGTTTGCACAATTGACTGCTATATTGACTGAACTGTTTAGGATTAATATAATACAAATCTCTCTGTAAAGCTACCCGTCTGGCATTTTAAAGTTTGTGATTTCTGTTTTGTGTGTCTTAGAGAAAAAAATTTTCTATAGTAATTTTTAGTTTGCCTGCCTTCTGCTTTTTTTTTTTTTTTTTNTTTCTCTGGTACAGAATATATTGAACTATTTTCTAAATAATATAGGTCAGGCCTCCTTATTAGCTGTAATAATAAATATATTTCAAATAATGAATTGTAAACATTTTTCTCCAGTTCAATAATTGTTGTTAGATTGAAAAGATGATAATAGTTGGGGTGCAATTTTCAGATTGTAGGCCTAAACCTTCCCACTGCTTTCATCCATTCATCTATCCTTTAATTGTAGCTCAGCATTGTGACAATATTACATTAATATACATTTTATTTTTAATGCAATAAAAATGTGTTCTTTAAAATATTGGGTTCAGAAAGTAAGTTCATTTTTTTCCCATGAAAAAGAAATCAATTTTCTTATAATATATAAATATTTTATTCAATTATATATTGATCATTTTGGTCCAATACCTTTTGCCATTTTTCTGTTGTAGCATGATTCCATGCACATAAAATTTCTGATCTTTGCTTGCAAAAAACTGATTCAAGTGATTTTTGACATCCTCATTTGAAGTAAATGTTTTACCATTTAAAAAATTTTGTGAAGATTGGAATAAGTAATAATCCGAGGGTACCAGATCTGGTGAATATAGTGGGTGTTGTAGCATATCCCATCCAACCTGTAACAGCTTCTGATGAGTTAGCAAACCTGTGTGAGGTCTGGCATTATCATGGTGAAACACTACACCTTTTCTGTTAATCAATTCTGGTCTTTTCTTTGATAATATCACTCAATTTGTCCAGTTGACGGCAGTAGACTTTCAAAACAATTCCCTTAAAATCCCACCAAACAGAGAGCATCACTTTTTTTTTTATGAATATCGGCTTTTGAAGTGCTTTGAGCTGGCTCATCTTTTCTACTCCATGATTGCTTGTGTTCAACATTGTTGTATACAATCCATTTCTTGTTGCCAGTTATGATTTACTTCAAAAATGGATCATTTTCTTAGTGTTCGAGAAGCAAATCACAGATGTTAATGCAATGGGGCAAATCTCTTTCTTTAAGAACACGTGGAACCCATTTATCAAGCTTTGAAGCAAAACCAAGCTGTTTCCAGTGGTCATAAACAGTTGAATTGGACAAATTTAATCTGTTAGCGATTTCTCTTGTTGTTGTTTGGCGGTTTGCTTCAATCAATGCCTTTATTTTGTCTTCGTCAGCTTTAAATGGCCTTCCAGAACATGGTGCATCTTCAATATCGAAATTGTCAGTACAAAATTTTGCAAACCACTTTTGGCATTGTCATTCTGTCAATACATCTTCTACATACACATCACACAATTTTTTTTCTCACTTGAACAGCATTCTTACCTTTTCGGAAATAAAAGAGCAAAATATGCCAAAAATGCTGCTTTCAATCTTCCATATTTGATGGGACACAAAAAATAAACAATTGAACGAAATCAAACAAAATGTTTTACAAATAAGCCTTAAAATGCTAGCTGTCAAAATATATAATGATAATACAGTTTAGAATGAAAATGGCTGGAAAAATATGACTAATCCCTCTAGTGGTAAAAAAAACCGAACTTACTTTCCGAACAACCTAATAATTAAAATAATTTTTTATTTTATTATTTAATTTTTATATTTCTAATTGCTCTGATTTTAGAAATATTTGTTTTATTGGTGATCTAAATTTTTCATTTCAGTTAATCAAAATTACTTTAAATTGCAACTGTATGAATTTTTATTTGTATAATATTTCAATGACATAAATTTGACAAACAAAATAGTAACTATATTATTTTCATTTTATAATGAACTGTAATAATTAATAAATGAAAAACATTTAAATTCAGATTAAATGATAAGTTAGGATAACATTTTTTAAGTTACATTAAAATTTTTGTGTGTGTGCATTAATATTATAATAGAACAGATCCTTTCTATTCTTTTAGGAATAGAACAAAAAGAAAGCGAAGATCTAGAAGCAGATCTCGAAGTCCTGTAGTTAGGTCTAGGTCAAGAAGATCAAGAAGTAAATCTCGTTCACGTTCTCCTTACTCTGTTTCCAGGAGAAGAAAGAGAAGTTCTAGTATTGATTCAAAATTTGCTGTCAGTTTAGTAGCTGAATTACTTAGCAATCGGAAAAAAGCCAAAAAACCTTCGAGGCCACTTGTAGCAAATGAACAAAAAGAGGAGACTGAAAAAGAAAATGGTGGTATTGCACCTGAAAGTTCAAAATCATCTCCACTTCCATCCTCAACAGAAACAACTCAGTCCACCTCCGCAGCAGCTGATGTGAAGAGTGTTGACACACCTAAAGAAACTGAACTAGTAAAAGAACCACCTAAAGAAGAAGCAAAACCACCATTACCACCACCTCCAGTTGAAAAACCACCTCTTCCTCCTCTTCCTACATTACCTCCATTACCATTACCACCAGGTGTTCAGCCAGAAGATATATTAGATGACATTGATTCTCCTGCTCCAGAAGAATCTTCCACGCCTCCAAGGAAAGGAATAAAGGAACTCCCTATGCCACCTGGAATGAAACCTGAAGATATTATGTCCCCTGAACCAGAGCAAGACAGATCCCCATACGGACAGTCTTCGCCTTCCACTGTTCTTCGACCAGTGTAAGTATTGTAATAGAAATTATTTGTCTGTGTTCACAAAAGATTTATATATTTTTTAAAATTAAAGTGAAGAATTTTTACAAACATTATTATGTTGCTATATAAAAGATATTTTGAATTATCTTGAAACATAAGAAGCATAATTCAGGAAATATATTGAAGTAATAATCAGTTGTAATTCATTCCATTTATTAAACCTTATGCCTTAACATTTTCACATTCTTAATTAATTACAGAAGCACTTTGAGTTGTTTCATACAGTTGATCATTACATGCAGAAATCTGTCAAAAAACAGTGATATTAATAAGACTAACAAACTTGAAAAAATGACTTTGTTTTTATATTTTATACTAGCTGCAAGGACCCGCTTCGCTGGGTTTTTATTTGTATGTAATATAGTTTTATATATATAAAAGACTGTTTTTCTAAGTAATCTAGAATCTAGCTGCAAGGACCTGCTTTGCTGGGCAAAAAGTAACGTTAGTGAAGATTAAGATAATTACATTATAGCCAATCTTACCCGTTTTCACAAAATGCAAGAATTAGGTCCCCCGTTTCCAGACTAATTAGAGAATTTTTACATCCAGTCAAACGAACTATTTTCAATTTGATCAATTTTCTGGAACGTTTACAATCGTTCTATAATCGAACCAATTCGAATTTAAAACGGTTTGAACATTTTTAAAATCAAAATAGAAAATCTTCGAAGTCAACCACTTTAAGCCCCCATATCTCGCGCACCCTTATAGCTATCAAGACACAACCACCATAGTGCACAAATGGAGACTTGGGGCTACTACCACACACAAACACCATTCATGTGCAATGTGTAGTTTTGGCTGAAAAGTGAAATATAGGGACACCCATGTCCATTTTTATATATATAGTAGAGCGTCGATTTTCCGAATCAATTGGGGACTGGGGTTGTCCGGATAACTGATTTACGTACGATAAAATAGTTTAACGTATCCGATGTCGAAATTTTTCTCTGTTGCGTGTCGCTTTGCGTTGAATTTTCGTCGATGTTAAGCCTAGCAAAGACTATTGTATCGTTAAAAATTATTTTTTTATTTTGTACAAACAAAATAAATATATTGAAAAATATAAAAATAATAAAAAATTATACTTCAGATGTTAATTTAGTATCAAAAACGTAAAATATTTGAGTAGCCCAAGACATAGCCAAAGATTGAAGCGCCACAGCACTGGCGAAAATTTAAATTTGCCGACTGGAATTCTTTCGGATGATTGACTTTCGGAAAATCGACGCTCTACTGTATATATATACACAAATATCTATTTGTGTATAGAATAGATATTTAGATATAGCATTTTGATAGTTTCTCTTTTAATTAATAACTCTAGAATAAGAGAAACTATCAAAATGCTATATCTAAATATCTATAAACAAAACTTACTCTAACACCTTGTAAACGTGCAGCCAAATTTATTAACTTTCTAATGTTTTCAGTCATGTTAAATGACTTTTATCAAGAAAAGACTTTAAAATTCGAAGATGTTCAAATTTTAAAGTGTTTTCTTGATAAAAGTCATTTTGTTTATTGAATAATATGCAGTCTCAGATGAACTAAATAACTATGATCTACAGGTGTTACCTGATGATAAAATTATATATGCATTCAGTATTTTTGAATAAAATGACAAGCATCAATTCTTATTTTAAATGTTCTTGAAATATAGAGCGAGATATTTCAGTTCATAAATTTTTCAAAAAAAACTTAAAACATTTTTCCTCATTTAGTACTTTGCCATTTAAATTGTTTATTTTTGAAATAATTTACTATAAAAATCAAACATAGATAATTTAATTTAGTTATTTAATGAAATTTTAACCAGTTTTTAATTCATAATTTATAAAGTAAACTTACTGTTTAAAACATTATATATATATATAGTTTAAAACATTATATATAGTTTAAAACATTATATATATAATGTTTTAAACTATAAATTAAATTTATACTAATTTATTAAATTTAAAAATTAAATTATAAATTTAAAACTTTACTTTTATGAAAATAATTAAATAAAAATGTAAATTAATAGAAAATCTATTTGTTAGCAAAAAACAAAATGTAAATAATTAAAAAGATGAATATTTAAAAATAGCTAAACACCA